CTAATTCTTCAGAGATCAGGCATCGGTGACCCAGCAAAGTTGAAACAGGCGGGTGTCAACTGTTTGGTCAATCTTCCTGGAGTTGGGCTCAACTTCCAAGACCATTACTTGACCTTTTCAGTGTTCAGGGCCAAGCCAGATGTCGAGACGTTTGACGACTTCGTTCGGGGCGACCCTGAAGTGCAAAAGCGTAAGTGAATGAACTACGCGGAAGCCTTGCCCAAGTATCTGATTACGCGTACTAATGCTACTCTGATGTAGGCGTCTTCGATGAATGGCATCTCAAGGGAACCGGCCCTCTTGCAACCAATGGCATCGATGCAGGGGTTAAGATTCGCCCTACAGAGCAAGAACTAAAAGAGTTTGAGAGCTGGCCAACTCCCCACTTCAAAGACGGCTGGAAGAGTTATTTTAAAGACAAGCCAGATAAGCCAGTGATGCACTACAGTGTCATATCCGGCTGGTTTGGCGACCACATGTTGATGTGAGCTTCGCAACGTCCAAGTATTTGGCTTCGTTCTGACAAATTTACAAGGCCTCCCGGGAAATTCTTCACCATGTTCCATTTCTTGGAATATCCTTTTTCGAGAGGCAGCACTCATATCAAGAGCGCTGACCCATACGATAGCCCGGACTTCGACTGTGGCTTCATGAACGATGAGCGGGACATGGTCCCAATGGTGTGGGGTTACATTAAATCCAGGGAGACGGCACGGAGAATGGATGCATATGCGGGAGAGGTGGAGACCATGGTTCGTTGCATCTTCCTTGCAATAATATGTGACTTTGATGACTTATCTCTTATGTATAGCACCCCTTCTTTGAGTATGACTCTCCAGCAAGAGCTCATGATATGGATCTGGCCACGACCAAGGCCTACGCCCTTCCGGGTAACTTATCAGCTGGAATCACACATGGCAGCTGGTCTTCTTATCTCCCTGAAGCTGACACTAAAGCCGGCGTCAATATCCTGTCTTCCAACAAAGTCAATACGCGCCAAGAGCTCAAGTATAACAGCAATGATATCAAGGCTATTGAAGAATGGGTCAAGCGCCACGTGGAGAGCACTTGGCACAGCTTGGGAACATGCTCTATGGCTCCCAAAGAGGGTAACAGTATCGTAAAGCACGGAGTCTTGGATGAGCGTCTGAATGTCCACGGCGTTAAAGGACTCAAGGTTGCCGATCTGAGTATCTGCCCCGACAATGTGGGCTGCAACACGTGAGTAACCCTCTCTGGCTAGTTGCCATTTTTCCCGCCTCGGAGCTAAATGTGATATACTAGATACTCCACGGCTCTCCTGATTGGAGAAAAAGCCGCGATGCTTGTAGCTGAAGATCTCGGCTATTCTGGAGAGGCATTGGAGATGAAGGTTCCAACGTATCATGCACCCGGTGAACTGGCATTGCAGTATCGTCTCTAAACAAGATTGTTCCCACCCTCTCATTTCATGTTCTATTTGATCACATACTGTCATTATGAGTTATTGAGCGCTTGTTTGTGATTCTTCAATGTAACTACCCTGTATCGCTCTTTTCATTTAAGTTGACTTTTTTGTCTTTTTGTAGTTTAACTCTAAGGCCCAAATTGTCGATATGCAATATTTCATAGTAAGAGATATTATTATTGATGATCTAATCGTAAGATGATCTAGCAATCGCTGATGTTGAAGGAATGTTCGAATCATGTAGCATGATGCTCTATATAGAAAGTACCATTGAGACTTTGTCATTTAGCCAATGCAACTGATAAGAATACACACTTAATAAATAAATAAATAAATAAATAGCTGATTTTTATCTTCAAAACCGCAAAGGCGTGTAGTTTAACCAACTATACAGCCATGTGGGTAGCATCTACGAGGCTAGCTTTCACATCTTCAGTTGTAACGTGGTTCTCCCACTTCTTCAACAGTGATACGGGTGGATTCCATAGCGCCCGTTTAGTTATATGAGTTTCCCATAATGTCTATGGCTCTACTGGAAATAACTCGAGCTGCCTAAAACTCTCCAGACAATATCCATCAAATGGAAGCTCTGATATCAATTCTATTTAAGATATAGGTAGATTGTGACACGGCTGGTATCACGCCGCGCAACTGACTGTAGCTCAGGTATCGATGACTCCCCCACCTAAACCGTTTGATTCGATTCATTGTAGCATCTCCGTGTCTCCATCTGTGCCGCGGTCGGCGCCTACCAGCTTCGACTGGTCGCAACCAATAGCATCAAGTTGCCGTCTTATCCGAAATTACGGAGTAAAGGCACCGCCACGTGCAGGAACAGAGAGCCTGCCCTGCTCCGATATTAGACAAGCCCTATCACGAAAGCGGAAGCTCTAGCTGAAGGAGCTGACAAAACTGGCTAGACTCTAAACACTCTGAGAGAAGCCAGCGAGTATTACAGCCGAGTGTTAACAAGAAGCATTGCTTTCAATACTGCGTACATTGGAGGTTTATTTGGAAAGAGGGTCTTGAAGGGTCTCGAGCAAACAGGGATCGTTTGACCCTCTTACTAAGGAAGAGGAACAAAAAAAAAAAAAAACCCCTAAAAATTAGGTGAAAAGATCTTTTTTTCTCTCACGAAAGTAAACAGCTTTCAGCAGGCAGGTCGTCTAAATGCACCATGAGGTCAATCACAGATGCAGATGCATTTATTGGAACTGGTTCCTGCATATTGACATGCGTGTGATGGGTGACGTTCTCTAACCGCTTTTGCTACTCTCAACCTTCCGCATTAGACGTTAAATCATCTTGACCCTGGCAGTATTAGAGCATAACGTTGCATCAATATCCTACTAATCGCAGTGAGATATGCCATCTACAGTCCACATCATCAGGACTGCCGGTGGGTTTGTCGAGCTAATCCCTATCGCAGTCGCTGCCGTGATTGTACAGCACAAAGATAGTGCGGAATGTTTCAGTCGTCCAACCAACTGCCCATTCATGTAACCATGTCAGACTGCGAGCTGGAGCCGCCTGGGTGGGTTATGTCAATTAGCATAGCACCTACCATAATCTTCTGGCACGATGCTACCTGTGTAAGCCTGAGTCTAGCTGCCTCATTGGTCCTGTTGCAAAGACTATGGCATTGACTTGAAACATTTCGACGGTTGCCTATCTAACTGATATAAAGACTTCGATCTGCTCTCGTCTTCCCCAATCCATCATCACGACAAGCCAATCCAGAGCTGTCTCCGGTCCTTCCTAGTCATTCCTTACTTTTACATTCATTAAATATTTCGACGAACTAGTCAACATGCCTTCTCTTTCTTTCACTGCTGCCCTCGGGCTTTTGTCTCTTCTCCCTGCTGCGCAGGCTGGCTGGAATCAAAACAGCAACGACAACATCGTGGTCTACTGGGGTCAGAATTCCGGCAGCGTTGGCCAAAACAGGCTCTCATACTACTGCCAGAACGCCCCTGATGTCGACGTCATCAACATTTCCTTCATGGTTGGCATCACCAACCTCAACCTCAACCTTGCCAATGTTGGCAACAACTGTACCGCTTTCCCTCAGGCTCCCAACCTGCTTAACTGCCCCCAGGTTGCGGCCGACATCGTCGAGTGCCAGCAGACCTATGGAAAGACCATCATGATGAGTCTGTTTGGCTCCACTTACACCGAGAGTGGCTTCAGCTCCTCGTCCGCTGCCGTGTCGGCTGCCCAGGAGATGTGGGCCATGTACGGCCCTGTCCAGAGCGGCAACAGCACTCCTCGACCTTTCGGTAACGCCGTCGTTGACGGTTTCGACTTTGATCTTGAGGATCCTATCGAGAACAACATGGAGCCCTTCGCCGCTGAGCTGAAGAGCTTGATGGATGCCGCCACCTCCAAGAAGTTCTGGCTCTCTGCTGCCCCCCAGTGCCCCTACCCCGATATCTCGGACGAGAGTTTCCTCGATGGAGAAGTGGCCTTCGATTGGGTTAATGTACAGTTCTACAACAACGGATGTGGTGTCTCTCACTACCCTGCCGACTTCAACTGGGCTACTTGGGACAACTGGGCCAAGACTGTCAGCGCCAACAAGAACGCCAAGGTTCTCATTGGTACTCCCGCCAACGTCGGTGGTGCCAACGCTGGATCCTTCCCTACCGACTCTCAGCTGTCTGGAGCTATCAGCCTTGCCAAGGGCACTTCTAGCTTCGGTGGTGTGATGCTGTGGGATATGGCTCAGCTCTTCTCTAACACCGGATACCTGGCCAAGATCGTTGCTGATCTGGGGGGCTCGGCTTCTACTCCTCCCCCTCCCCCTCCTTCTACCACCCTGGCAACTGTCACCCGAACTTCCACTGCCGCCAGCGGACCTACCTCCTCTGCTCCCCCCTCCGGTGGTAACGGTGGCTCTGTTCCCCAGTGGGGTCAGTGCGGTGGTGATGGATACACTGGTCCTACCCAGTGCCAGGCTCCCTTCAAGTGTGTCGTTGAGTCGGAGTGGTGGTCTTCTTGCCAGTAAAGGGTTATCCGGATCATCTATAGAGATCTATACCCCTTTTGCTCTTGAAGTCTGGATATAGAGGGAGGGCGACGCTTGCATTCCTTCTTTTTGGCTTCTGAGTAAGCCCCTTCGCTTCAACATTGTATATATTTTCTTCATTCCGGTATATATATTTGGATTGGAAGTTGTATCTAAGTCTCATTTATGTTTATGATTACAGCTTGTACATTCATGGCCACCAAAATCTAGACAATATATAGGTTTTGCAAAATTGTTCTCAAGTTTTTCTGTAACGTGATTACCGCTGACTGACACTGATGTGCCATATTTTATCGGAGTGACCACCTCTTAGCATCCTGAGTCAGATATTTAACAAGTACGTATCCTATTGAAGACGACGATAATATTAGACATTAAAGGAATATTCTACTGAGCTATAACAGTATATACTAGAGAAGTATAGCTGCAGTAGCAAGCGCTAGAAGGACATAGCAAATATAGCAGAAAGGTAAGCCTAATATAGTAGTATCCCAGGAACCTGGTATACATACACGCAATGATTGACTAAGACGTCATTTCACTGGTGAATTCATTTGTAATTGTCGGCATAAACTCTTGGTCAAACGAGGATACGGTCGTTGTGAATCCCAAGATGTTCAAGTAATGGTTAAATTCGTCATCAGTAAAACTTTGGTTCCATACTCTTGGGCTGGAACCGGATTCAACATATAGCTGTGCGAGCTTATGGAGTAGTTGAAACAGTACTTGGCGACGCCTGGCTGACTTTGAAGAGAACTCCAGAGGCTGCAGCGATGTGACAAAGTCACCAAGACGGGCGAGATCAACAGGATTAGAAGCCTCGATGCATTGACGAAAGAGAACAATGAAGGGCACGAATGGCATGTTCAAAATGATACTTCAACTATAAGCAGCACGTCATTATGAGTCTAGAAGGGAATGACTTACCGATTGATGTACCTTGCCACAGAGGTAGGTTCATTAGTGCAGGCCTGTAGTGCTGCTATAGCATGTTGATGGGCATCCATTGCTTTGCTCGCAGCCTCGAAGCAGTCTGGGGAAATACAAGAGTCAGGTGTAAGAACGGCTCTGTGGATAAGTGTGAGCACCGAGAGAAGTTCAACTTGCTCAGCGGCAAGGTGTGCTTTGAGCAATACATCCGTACAATGAGAACTGAGGGTATTATCGAACCCCTTGACGTTGTTAGCAGATAGTCCATAGCTAACACAGTTGACTTCAGGTTTTCTTACATCAATCAACATCTGCAGTTCACCAGACAGAGATTTAACGCTATGCAGACGGTCTGAATATGATCGTGACAGACCAAATGAGCTGTATAGCTCGTCGTAGACCCTACCTTGAATATTGGCAGATTTATTCCACCTCATGTCCATAGATTCGCATGCTAATGACACGTTGTACTCTTGGATATTGGATGATCGTCCGAGCCGCAGCGACAAGCTTTTGTCTATTCGGTATATAGTAAAGAAAAGCCGCTGCTTAGCCTTTTTGATGTCTTCTCCGTCAGTTTCAAGAAATGAATCCTGATGAAAACCTAGCGTCTGGCATAGGTGTGAAGCTGAAGACGAGAATGTCCAGGCGAGAACGTCTTTACAGAGTTCAATTGCATGCAGAGACTGTTCAACGAATTAGCTCCTGTAGCCTATCTCGAGTCTCCCATTGATATGCAGATGTGAAATTTATCCCATATGCAGGCACTTACACCCATGGCTAGCGCTGCAATGACTTCCATAGAGGCAGGTAATAGAAATGGAAGGCGAGAGAACGCGCCTTGAAAGTTTTCGCAGCATTGTCTGCTATACTCATGAAATTTGGACTGCTTGGATAGGATTGCGTATTCCGCATAAAGCCAGTAAAAAGTACCGTTGGTGAGAATAAATTCGACTTCAGTATACCCATTGACGGAAAAGTAAACCTTTTGGCAGATTTCAACCAGTCTTTCAAGAGGTAAAATATGCGACAACCGTGTTACAATGTAGTTCGAATGATTTTCTGCCAACTAATGAGTTCTTGGAGGAAAGTAAGCCGAGAGCAAATATGCATCGTACCTTTTGCCCATTTGAGAATGAACACGGCAGCCTCCAGTGGTGGCAAGCTCTTCGCCTTGCTGCAGGTAGACGTTGGATGCGGCTGATCTGAGAATGAGATTTGGTGAACCACAATTTCATCGTTTTTGTGGCGCAATAGATCTCGCAGGCATGCTAGAAGGTCATCTCTCTCAAGATCCGAATCAAGTGTAGTCTGCGCTGCTATACTATCCACGAATCGTTTAGCTTCAAGTGAATGAGCCGTGAATGATGACCCTCCTGTGAATGGACAAGGAGATTTCCGTCCGCTCTCTATTGTATCTTGAATCAGGGGGCTATCCGAATCTGCTCTGTGATGAGACTGATGCTCTCGCAGATCAGAGCTACGTTCTTGCAGCAGCTTTTTGATCTCGTCAATGCCTCCAGATATTTCATCAAACTTTCTCTCACTTTACAGGGGGAAACCAATTGAGGCCGTGTTAGAACGATTCCGAATATCTGTCGAACTGAGTTCTGATAACTCACTACTTGGCTGATATGATAACCCTCTGGCCTGCTTCCTTTGCTCTTGACACAACGGTCGTGTGTGTGCAGCGAATTTTCGCGTTGTCACAGCTGGAGCAGGGGGATCCTCTATCGCATGCAACCTGGCATTAAGCGAATCAATATCAGCAATCGTTCTTCCGTTAGCTTGCATTTAGATTTGCATACCTTTCGGCTCCGACACTGGTCACACTGAATTGTTGTACAAGTCAGCACCTTTGATTGGAGCGCTTTGTGAACCTTGATCACTTACGGATCGCCGAGGAATTGCGGGCTGTTTGCGTGACCGCGCTGCCGCACACCCGCGGGTTTCCATGCTTGAGATAATATGGACTCTTTTTTTACGCGATTATTTTGCGGTAAGAAACTGATGTGGTTGTCGCGACTTGAGGCTTGGGAAAGGAGAGGAACAAAGATTAAGTCTGGTCCGGAGATGCGCGGGTTTCCGGGCCCCACGTTGTATTAGCCTTGCCGGCCAATCACGATTCTCTACGAAGCCAAGGCCTTATGGGTTCGTCATACTACGGAGAGTTTGTGTTATAAATCAATGGATAGCAGCAGGATGTTTATATGATCAGCAATATGAGTACTCGCTTATAAATATTACGAATTTCTTGCATTGGATTGAGATTCAAGTAAGTTAACTACTCAGTTAAATAACACCTCCGGAAAACCATTTCTCATACTCGCAAGTTGCCATGGCGTGGAATATCTTGATCACTGGCGCAGCCGGATATATGCATGTTTTTAACCCACAACATCTTGCTTTATGTAATTGACTAACAAAAAAACGTTAGTGGAGGGTCTCTTGTTGTTGGGCTTCTTTCTAGTGAGAGTGTCAAGTTTAGACCAGAAAACATCCATGTTCTCGTTCGTTCTGAGGAACAAGTGGGACACTTCACTTCTCTGGGTGTAAATGCCGTACAGTGTTCTTTGCTAGATGAGGACAAGATAACCGGGATTGTGCTTGAGAAAAATGGTAAAGCGCCCTTACACATCCAACCGGTGGCCTTTGTTTAACGTAATACCCCCCAGTCGATATTATTATTCATTGTGCAAGTTCACTGGATCCTAACCTGGCATACCCTTTGATCTCGGCTTTACAGAAGAGACGCCAAACTACCGGGAAAGACACATATTTTATTCACGTGAGAGAATCCCCCTGTCTTGAGTGTTAAAGCCATTATGAAGATGACAAATTCTCATTGAGCTCAGACGGCTGGAATGGGCGCCTTTAGCAAAGAAACAGGCTGGCCTCATGGCCCAGTAAAGGACACTGACCCTGTTTTCGAACTTGAGAAAAAAGTGCCAGAACATGATGCATTCCCCGTGACGCGGGTAAGGAGACATATCTGCATCAGCACTACATTCACATCATTCTAACCAGCATGCTAGGTGAGCGTCGCAATAACGGAATTCGCTCAGAAATTAAACGTAACATCCTTCATTGTATTTCCGCCACTTGTTTGTGAGTTCTATGAGCCTAGCAAGTCATTTACAATGGATTTGTTGACAGTCCATACCCGAATTGGTAGATGGTCGAGGTACTGGCCCGTACAAGAAGCTGTCCGTTCAGGTGCCTGGCCTCATTCGAGCGTTCATTGCGCAGAAGATGGTATACAAATTCGACTATGAAGGCGTAAGAAGTAAACCAACAACCATCAAAATACTTTATACTGACAATCTCATAGCGGTGGCCGGCAGCGCATATATCTGATGTAGTAGACTACTATCTTCTGCTCATCGACCTCATCATCCAAGGAAAGCCTCCCCAGAGTGGTGAAAAGGGATATTATTTCGCGGCGACTCATTATTTAAGCTGGTGGGAAATATCAGAAGGCCTGGCCAAGTCTCTTCATGCCCGCGGTTTAGCGAAGGAGCCGATACCGGCTGTTTGGCCAAGCGTAGAACTTGCTGAAAAGGCTCTCGGGTTTCCATCACCATACGTGCAGGTCGCGTTCAGTTCAAGGTCAGTGGAATTCTCCAGCTGAAGAAGCGGTTAGATCTAACAGGATAGTAGTCCACAGGGTACTGCAGACAAGAAATACGCCATTGGTTGGGAACCAAAGTGGAATGCTCCCGAATTTTTTAATATCATTGATGATGAGGTCCAGAGCGTACTTGACCTTGATATAGCTCGAGCTTCCATTGCAGATTTCTTCGCAAAGGACAATGTCGAGGGTTCGAAGGAATAAAGAAGGGTCGTGTAGAACTTGTATATCTGCTAGAATCTAGACCAATTAAGAGTATCGGCAAACTCCGGCTTAACAATTTGTCACGCAAGTTGGAAGTTCTCAAGGGGGTTCAGAAACATGGCTGCCATGGATTTCTGTACTGCACCTGGAGACTCTTATGCCTTGTGGTAGAACGGAACGAGCGCAAGGAGACTCATCCCTATTAGGAAAGCGCGCGCTCACTAGAAAAGATCTCGACAAAAGAATAAGCTTATTTCCGTGCTCTTTAAGAAGCCTTTGATCCATGATACCTTGCTTCTCCTTCAGAGACATCACGAGGTTAAAGCTTTGCGGCTTATTACTCTCAAGACTTCACGCATTTTTGGTATACAACAGGCGGAATTCCGCAGGGTGCAGACTTGATAGCATCCAGCTTACAGAACACCGGCAGATTCACTCGCTGGTCAGCCAAGCTGATGCACTATTTTGGCTTAGTTGTTGTGGGTGTCGAATTAAATCAATAACGAGGGCTTTGTATCACGTTCACTCTTGGAAACAAAGGCCAAGTCTTACTGTGTGACTTTTAAGACGGTTGTACGATGTACGTGTACATGGCTTCGTGAAAACTCTACTTCGTTGACAATGCGCATGTTGGAGCTGCTGACACTAATAAATCGCCAACCTCACCACACTAATAAGGCTTCTGCCAAGAGAAGCTCCATGAACCCTGCCATCCGTCTCTTATAAGTAGCGATCTCAGCCACTGGATTTGAGAGTCAACTCAAGCTTCCAACACATCACTAGATCTTTGCAAAATGCTGTCCCAAGTACTACGCTTTACTTTCCCGGCCGGTTCCACCATATCATCGGCAGCATTCCTGAAGCTTCGCCAGCAAATTGCTGCAGCGGGCGCAGCATCCCAATACTATGGCTACACTACGCCGACCAGAGTCTTGAGTCTACCTAGAAAGCGCCATGAGGCTTGTTGGGTCATTCGTAAGTATTGCTCTTGTTAGATACGTCTATAACGACTTAATTCTGACTGGCGGGGGGGACCAGATTGGCCTAACGAGCGACAAGACCGAAGCGCTGTGGCCGAAGGATTAATTAGCACTGGTATTACAGATGCAACATCTTTGGAGTTCGAATTCACTGAAGCTCAATTGGAACATTTGACCAAGGCGCTTGACGCTCCAATTTGCGAATTTGTATGTGTCTATTGTCTTACCTTGTCTTATCATTCATATGCTCTTATGTTTATTTTTTCTACCTTCATTTTTATTTGTATTTTGCATTTTATGCTGCACTCTGGAGAACCTTGCTTATGAAACGCGTATTAGGCTTGTATCCGACTGAGAGATGATGCCCCATTAGAAGACGAGGCTCTACAGAAATCAATGCATAAAACGTATTCCGATACTTACCAGATTCCAGGATTTACAGGCGGCTATTGGACATACGCTCTTAACTCCAACGAAACCGCGGGTGTATCTTGCAGCAGCCCTGGCCCGGAAACAATTCCCAAGTCCCACCGAAGACTCGGAGTTTATTATCTCGGATGGGATAGCATTGAGGTAGCAAAATTCGGGTGCATGATTACCACATTTGGGTAGGCCTAGTTGCTGACTGAATCCAGTTGCACGAAGATGGGACCCAAACGGCAGCCTTTTCCGAGGAGATTGACAAGTTGCAGCCATATTTTGGACCGGGATCAGGCGCTTTTTACACGATACTTCGCCAACATAAATAACGCGCTGTGCAAGAATAGCAGATACGCCATATAAGTTGGAGGTGTAAGGCTTGTGGCATTTAACGGGTGGTTGCCTAACAAAGGCTCGCGAGGCATTTCTGAAGGCTGTCCTTGGTTCGAATATGCCCCCTCATTCACAAAACTACATGCAGATGAAGGGCGAATTGCGTCGATGCGAATTCATTCTAGTTTCTATACTGGTGATAGGCCGCAATATAATAGCTAAAAGACAAACATCAATGATCAGGTTCAGACTTCATTTCTCTTTCTGTCGCTAGGTCTTCCAACATGGTTGTCAGCTGATTCTAGCTTCATCATAAATGGAATCAGCGAACAAAATGGATATACACGTGTAGCCACACCGCGTGCTTAATTTGTGCCCGTCATTAGGCTGCTGCCACATCTTCAATTCTTTCTCGCAATAGTGATATTGGATACTGCATACAGACCCACAGAGATGGGAGGCGCAGCTCAGGCGTGATAGTGGCGAAGGCATTGAAGTTTTGGCCAGGCTTAATCCAGTCTCGTCCCTGTTTAATAAGAACCATTCGGTTTCGAGGTTCTTTTTAAGCATTTCTTCTTTCTCCAAGGTAATTACAGTCATCTTACAAAAGCTTCTCAAATGGCACCGATATTAAAAGTTGCACTTATTCAGTTTCAGGCCAAGGTTGGTCGGCCTCGCTACCTTTTCTCAAAACATCCAAACTGACGTTTCGATATATCCAAATAGCCCCTTTGTGTGCAAGAAAACTTTGACAAAGCAGTTTCAGAAATCCGATCCGCTGCCTCACAAGGAAGTCATCTCGTTGTATTGCCAGAATATCACCTCGCATCATGGGTTCCAGAGGACCCTTCGTTTGCTACAGCCTGTGCAGCTTCCACGCAGTATCTTTCGCAGTATCAAAAGCTAGCTAGAGAGTTAAATATTCACATCGTTCCAGGGACCATTGTTGAACCTGTTACTATCCAGCCATCGGATGCCGTTGCTACTTCTCATCTAGAGCAAGACGTACAAGCAGGTGATCCCATAGTGGAGCTACACAACAAGACATACTTCATCGCTGCGACTTCTGGAGATATTCTAGGAACATACCAAAAGAAAAATTTGTGGCATGTCGAGCGCGGCGTTTTGACTGCTGATAGGCGAACGCCGCACAAGGCGTTTGATGTTCCGCTCCCCGGTGGCCATATCGTGCGAGTCGGTCTGCTTATATGCTGGGATCTCGCCTTTCCAGAAGCCTTGAGACAATTAGCTGCGGATGGTGCCAAGATTGTCGTTATTCCTGCATACTGGCACATTAAAAAGGTCAATCCGAGGCTTCTGGCTCTAAACGCGGACTCGGAAGCTGTGTTCTTGGATAGCGTTACTGTTGCTAGAGCTTACGAGAACACATGTGCCGTTGCGTTTTGCAACGCTTGGGGTCATAGCCAAGTTGCGTTGCCGGTGCTAGGATCACTTGGGAAACTGGGAGCTGAGAGGGAAGGCTGTCTCATTAGTGAGATAGACTTGGATGCTCTAGAAGTCGCAGAGAGTCATTACAAAGTCCGAGAGGATATAGGTGGTAAAGAATGGCACTATTAGTTTACATGCTATTAAGCTTTAGAGAATGTTTCATGAGCGGTCACTCACTGAGCGATGTAAGTAATATTTGGTCATTTGATATTTCATAGTATATATAGTTTCCGAAGCGAAGTCTTGAGCCTTTTCCCTAAAATCTGTGCCGCTTCCCCATTCATTAGAGCGTGGACATACGCATCTCCTAGTAGCTCAAAAGAATCCTCTGTAGGTATTCTTTCATCAATCAAAGATGAACAATTCTTCTCTGTTACCTTAGAATCGAGGCTCTTTGGCCTGAGAATAAACGGAATGCGTGTATCGCTTAGAATACACACTACATCGCCTGCCCGAACATTTGTATCACATATGCCAATGTATCCTGACTCCGTGAGCATCAAGCTGCGTCCTCGCATAGTAATAGCGACGAGTTCAACGTATGCGGGCCACTTGTGTAAAATCTCGGGCAAATGATGCCTCGAGGAACGTAGTTGCTCCAAGAACTGAGTTGGAAAGCGAGCGTCTTGCGCAAAATAAGAGTTGGCAGGAGTATGTTCCCAATTGGCCACCAAACTCACAGCGATGGCGCTGATAATGTGCTGGCCGGTGGGACCGTAGATGTCGGTACAGCCAGAAGAAAAGAAGCCTATTTGGTCGAAACTTGTTGCAATCGAACAAAGAAAGTTATTCAGGGCATGTTTAGCCTTGTGAACAGCTCCAGTGAGAGGTAGAATGTCCAGTGGGATGACAGCCTTAATAACGTCATACACTAGGCCAACAGCAACAAGAGCGCGTCTGTTATTTTTGAGGTTCATAATTTGGAAATGTTGTTTAGGTATCCCTCGTGAAGCATCACTGCTTTCTGGAGAGTGGTGGAGCGGTTTGTGGCGCATTGTTCCAGTCCAATCTGGTACCCATGATGGAACTCCTGTATCTTGACTTGCTACCTCTCTTTGCAGTGCTGGGCGCATAGCTGCAGCAAGTTGTAGTACGTGAGTGGTGGAGTTGTAATTGCTATCAAGAGGAAAGTCGTCCCTCAGCTTCATCATGAGAATAGCAAAGTCAGTGAAGATGTCGCTAATAGGTAGCCCGTAGTTAATATTTTCAACGAGGACCTGCATGCCTGCAGAGTTTGGGAACCAGTGTTGCATAACGCCGTATAACGCGTATAATCGATCCCTGGGATTGGAGCATTCAAAGCTGTCAAACTCCACGAGAGTATCGAGTGGTGTCTGCCGTTTCAGCATTGCATCTGCGTTTCTAATTCGCGACATTGTCCGCAGAATTGTACGGTGATCGTCGCTAAACCCGCCCTTGTCATTCTCAAACCATTCGACCAAGGCCAACTCAAAGGCATTCCAATGTATACTCGTTGCACCGTAATGCACCCAGACATCGTTGGCCAATACCACCTCTTGGATAATCCATCGCCGTTTAAACCATGATCTCTGAAGCAACGAGGTAATAGCCCGAGGCTGCGATTCATCGTCACCGAGAAAAGCGGATACAGCCTGATTAATTCTGAACCTCTTCCTCCAAGACCACTGGTCATTCCCACTCTCATTTTTCGGGTCTTTGAGGATGAGAGCAGCAAGGTCGGCGAAGAAATTAAGACATAGCCTTCCATGATTCAGAACGTCGTCAGGCCCTAGCCAAACAAGGACACTTGTAGCTCCAGCATAAGTCTTTGGGAAATTGGCAACTTGGCTGTTGCGTTCTACTATGTTGTTCTGATCGATGCAGACGGCGTCTACCCACAGGACGAGCGTCTCGGTCTGCTTTCTCAAGCAGTGTAGCGCAGCGTACAAGTTTTCAGTAATGCGAATTTCGCTGCTGGAAGAATTTGGAGAGGTGAGGGTATCATTATCGTCACTGTTGTGTATGACGTTTAGCGAGTGTGTAAATTCCGGCAACCCCCAAGTATATGATAAGGCCTGGTATTTTACATGTGCCTGTTCTCTTTTATTGTGTACGGATGTGTCGAGGCTGCGATCGACGATCTTTGTTTCCACCAGGTGACAGCTCAAGAAGCCGTCCGCCGGCGAATCACACGTTGGCATAAGATGCAACAGTCGGATAGAAAAAGTACCGCGAGATGAGGCGGACAAGGGACTATACTTGTAATTCATCCCTCTTGAGCTTTCAAATGACAGTGTTTAGAGTGCATAAGATAAAAACAGTTACTACATGATGAATGAATAAAGATGTACAGAATTTAATCCTATGGATTTTTCTTCGGTGATGGATGCCTAGGAGCATGTAAATAGCGCGATGCGGAGTAGAACTGCTAAGGCTGAGCTGCTCAGCCTCGTCTGGATAATTGAGGTTGTTGTATACTTGAGATAGCTGCCCGGGAGCGGGAGTCTCGGAACTACATGGCTGTAAAATGAATTAATCTGATAATACGAGTGCCCAATATCGAGAATGGGGCGATGCACTTGATAAGGACGCATGTACTTCAAAGCTGGAATTGTGCACCGGTCATCTCGAACACATTGAAGCAAGTCATCATATTTGATAAACATCTGCGTATAAATACAGGTTGTATTGAGAGCCGTACCTCGCGCGTATATGGCGGCGGCATCTGGCACGATATCTTACACGGCCTCGGCAACTACCGCCACATGTTGCACTTAATTTCCAGGTTACAACAGGTTCCTTGCATGTGCCAGCTGTAGATGTGGGAAATGATGGCGCAAAATTGCGACAGGCGAGCTCAATATCTGTAGGACATAACGTTAGAAAGAATAAGTGCCGCAGACCACTTTGCAAAGCTGTGGCTGGTACAGTGCTAATATCCTCCCATCATCATGTACTACTGTCTTATGGCGGTCACTGCTTCTGCCATACTGCGAGTCAGCTGATAAGATAATGTGGCACTTTATCCAAAAATGGACGGAGCTCTTAGGACACAGTTCTGCTGTACCTGGGCTCTCCTAGATTTCAACCCTCTAGCACAGAGTTATCATGTATTTCGGGCGCTGCTGTACAAGTGTAAGTCAGAGTGGGCGTTACGATTTATTTGCCATTTGTATTAGGTGAAACCTCCAGTACCACAATGGACGAAAGGCAACGGCGCATTTTTATAAACTATGACCCCTCTGATCCCCGGCCAAACCGCACGCAGCGCCAAGCAGTGTCTGCGTACATTGGAAAACACTTCCGAAACCGTTCGGCTCCTGCAAGACGAGCACAGCAAACCCCCAACGGAAGCGAAAATAGGCTACTTCCGCAGTCACTAGTCCCCTCGGTAGAGGCACAGGGTCGGCTTGTCATCCGGGGGTCACAGTTTCTTCATTCGAGTAATGAAGACGACCGACACTCTATAGAACATAATGCTGGGCCGGAAGCTCCCGAGTCCCCAGGCTCTAATATTGGAAATAGCATTATATTACTGCGGCCGGTAATAGAATGTTTCGTTCCAGCGTATCCGACTGAGCATCGAGAAAAGGTCTTTGATGTTCTCGATTTCCGTACGTTCTACCCTGTCTCAGATGTTGTCCCAAGGCTACATGTATATTCTACTACACCAGTTACTAAAAAAAAAATTGGCAGATATCCACTATCTTGCCGCTCGTTTGACGCATTGGGGTCCTGGTGCCAACCCATTCGTTCGCTGCTGGGTGCAAATGGTCTGTGGTGATATGGCGCTATTTGACTCAGTGGCCGCCTTCACACATGGCGTACGTATCACTACGCTGGAAGACAAAATCACACCTAGCACCACCATGTTGTGGCACAAGGCGCGAGCGCTGAAGGCACTGCAAGCCAAGATATCACCACAGGCAGAAGACAAGGTCGCAACTTGGACAGCGAACGAGACAATCCTGGCGACTTTCTACTTGATGGAAGGAGCAGCAAGATTCGGTTATGAATCTGAATTTAAAGCTCATTGCCTTGGGTTGCTTCGGATGATGCAGCTAAGGGGTCAGGTTGCGAGTGGTTGCTTGAAAGACCTCTATGTTATGCAGGCGGTGGGGCTGGTTGAGGGCACAGAAATGGCATCTAGTCTCAAGCATGACATTACTCAAGAAAGTCTTCAACTATCCAGCAATAAGCAGGCTGATGGCACTTCTGTTACAGCGACGATGGCACTTCGATACCCTCAGCCAGTTATCCAGCTCGATCGGTCGTTAAAGTCCGCGATTGATACCTTACCAGAGGGCTTCCGCGACTTGGCTATCTCGGGGAATCTCAGCGCTGATTTTATCTTCCTTCTTGGAGAGCAGTCTCAACAGTACGACGACATTACTCAGTCTGCGGAACGCCAAACTAAGGGAATCAAGGGAGCTCGTCTGTTGGCTAACCGGTCGCAGAGTGCGGTGGAACAACTGGCCTGTTTGGGCACAGTTGCATTCCTCACACGGCGCACGGCACAAATGCAGATGTTCCCTGAAGTAGCTCGTATCAACAGGCTGGCGATGCTGGCGAGCCAGATGCCATCTTTTAGCAAGGGAGGGACGTTGTGCTACCGTGAATTGAGGGTCTGGGCAACGCTTGTTGGTACCGAGATATCGATTACGGCTGGTGCAACTCTTAAGCAGCGTGCTCGTCAATTAATGATGGATTTAGTACTCCAGGAGAGGTGGATTGGTGGTTGGATTGATGTTGAGAGGATAGTCAAGCGATATCTATGGGATGAGAAGTCTCTCGCTGCCTGGAAGAGACACTGGGCGAATTATCAGGATCTAAACCAGGTTTAACATGCGTTAGAGTGCTTCTAAACAGAATCATAAGGAGTCATTTTTGTTGAGTTGTCACGTGGATCTGTGTGACGTGGATCTGTGTGACCACTCTCCTAGGTTAAGCCTACTACTTTCTGTTTACTGCTGTTTGCAGCTAGTTTTTTACTCTTTTATAGATTATTAGTATAGCATAACACAGAGAGTTTTGCACCTTTTAGCTTGTTAGGTTATGAGCCCTTGCGTTTTATTACGCAAGATAAGGAAGAAAAAGAAAAGAGGCCTTGCCGACGGCCTTACTAATGGCCTAGCCAACGGCTTCGCTGACGATCTAGTTAACAGTCTCGTTAACAATAACAATAACTAGCTACAAGGGCTAACCCAAACAGCTAAGTTATTACCTCAGTTAACGCCAGGAAGGCAAAAAGAAACTAAAGATACCCAGAAACGGAGGAGACAGCTTAAAAAAGGGGACCCAGAAACATAAGAAACGAGGGAAGATGCTTATCGACGAAGATAGCCCGGAAACGAGAGACCCAGAAACATAAGAAATAAGTGAAGATGCTTAAAAACAAAGCTGAAATCTGGAAACAAGAGACCTAGAAACGAAGGAGACGTATGGATCTTAGAAACGAGGGAGTATTTTGGAATATGTGAATTATAAATTTCGAGGGATTTGAAGTTGTGATGGCCTTGTTTGGATGATTAGTTGGGCTTGGGGGGAGGTGTTGAGTTGTCATGTGGATCTGTGTGACTACTCTCCTAGGTCAAGCCTGCTTTCTGTTTGCTGCTGTTTGCAGCTAGTTTTTCCCTCTTTCATAGATGATTAACACACAGCAGAACACAGAGAGTTTTGCACCTTTCAGCTTGTTAAGTTTCTATCTACAAGTCCAAGTCAACATAGCCGTACAAATTCATTGTCTGGGCATCCCCTGCCATCTGTTGAGCCCAGGTGCTCATCGCCCCGAGAAATGTTTGCACATTTTCTTCTCGGCTCATATCAATCGGATCTTGCCCTTTGCCCACTTGCCGGATTTGGCTGCCTGCAATGATATTGGCCAAAGCGAAGTCGTCTTGATCTACCTTTGGGTCAATGGCACCAGTGATGGCACCATTCAGCATGTCTTTACTCAGACTAAATTCCTGTGCAACCACCCGACCAAGGCCGACACCATCAACTGTTTTCAAAGCATCTAGCATCCCACGGATGGTCCTGAAACCTCCGGTAACGTACGTTTTTGTCTTGTGCAGTGCAGGCACAATCATGGCCGCAAACTCAAGGAAGAACGCTTCTCGTTTTCTTGTTGACTCACGTTCGTGCTTGAAAGCCATTGCCTGGTATGTGCCGCCACTGAGTTCAACAAAGTCAAAGGTTGCCTCTTCGAGCATGTGGCAGAGCTCTCTTGCTTCTTTCACTGTAAATCCACCTGACTGAAACTCCACACTGTTGATTTTAATTCCCAAAATGAAGTCTGAGGGTGTATTTGCCCTAATAGCTTGGGCAATCTCCATGATGAGACGGGCGCGGTTCCTCAGGCTACCACCATATGCATCTGTCCGGAGGTTGGTCGTTCGCGAGAGAAACTGCGAAAGCAAGTACCCGTGAGCACCTTGCAGCTCAATACCGTCAAAGCCGGCTCGGTGTAGGTACTGTGCTGCAAAGCTGAAACTGCGCACAATCTCGTTTATCTCTGCCTGAGAAGCAGGATGAGGTTTGGCAAACTCAAGTCCAAAAACTTTACCCTGGAGTTGAACATCACTGGCAGAGACGGGGTCAGGCTGGATTCTTCGTTCGACTTGTCGTCCTGGGTGTGTGACCTGCCCAGTAATAAGGCTACCATGTGCCCGTGCAACAGAAGCGAGCTTGACGAAGGCCTCAAAACGCGGTCCCTCGAATGGAGCATCCGTAGGAATGATGAGGTTGCCAGGTGCTTCAAGCTGGTCATATGCCAACATAATATTGCCAGTCAAGATATGCCCGAGGCCACCTTCTCCCCATCGCTGGTACACGTTGTGTATCTCTGTTGAGGGAATTCCCCGAGCCTCTTTCTTCTGAGGATCCCAGGAACTGAGCTTCTCGGTCATTGAGGCTTTCAAGAATCGATTAGATGCGATCCTCTGGCTAAACTCGAAGCGCAGCGGTTGTGCCAGTGGTGAAACATCTTCGCTAGCTGAAGGGAAGCGGGACGCCATTGTTGGTACTCCGGTGATTGGTATCTAGTAGATGGAAAGAGAAGTGATCTTCAAGCATGATTTTCGAATATGATGATTATGGGAGCTTTGGGGACTTTATAATAAACAAAATTCCAACTAGACCTTGTATTAGGGCATTGTCTTCTGGTGTTCACCAGTCACTAAGACCCTCAAAATGATGCAGTACCTGTTACTAAGAGACCAGACCAACGATATTACAAATGCCCAAGGTGGGGCACATGCTTCTTTCTCCGAACAGGACTCCGCGGCCGATGACTCCACCTTCCTGAAGAGGTATTTACTTTCATCGATAGCCAAGCCCACATGACGCATGATATACATACAGATTTCTATCAGCAACCACCTTTCGACATCAACTTTCGGGGCAATTCGAAGTTTCAAACCGCCAAGCTGACTCCTTGGCTTTGATTTTTGTGAGGAATGAGCTATGAACACACTAGCTTTCATCCAGTCGCCCGAGTCGCCCGACTGGCGTGGAGATTTTCAAGACTTTGGCTTTGTCGTGATTTGTAAACAGAAAGCCTTTTATTATCCAATGTCCGAGATTCTCATCTGCCGCCAGAATGTAGTGCCTACTACCACAGGACACTATTGCTCTGATTCGTTATTTCGCTCCTGGACTGCGAGATACCGAATTGCACAGTTGCGTTGGAGGCGGCGTCAACTAGTATTTAAGGGCCGCAATTTCTGTCTCTGAACATCATTGACCTCAGGATCATCACTCTCTTGGCTAGTTTTCTGAACGGTTACAATATCACTCTGCCACTTTCTTTCAAACCTTGGTGCACCTGCCGACAATATGCCTTCACTACATATCGCTCTTGTCGGCGCTACGGGCAACCTCGGCCCAGTGATCCTGCAAGCACTTCTTGCGGCCTCGCTCCAGACTACGGTCTTAACAAGAGTAGGGAGTGCTCACAAGGTCTCCGTACCAGCCGGATCGGAAAGCCTATTAAAGGTTCAGGAGGTAGATTACAACTCGCACGACAACCTCGTCTCCGCACTCCAAACTGTCGACGTGGTTCTGTCAACTCTCGGCTTTGCAGACCTGTTTAGCACGCAGAAAAAGCTGATTGACGCTTCTCTGAAGGCGAAAGTCTCTCGTTTCATCCCTTCGGAGTTTGGAAATGATTCAGCAAACCCTCTCGTCCGAAAGCTGCCGCTTTATGGGGACAAAATCAAGACCCAAGAGTACTTGGAGGGAAAAGCTGCTCAGAACCCAGGCTTCAGCTATACCATGTGTTATAACAACTCTTTCTTGGATTGGCAACTCCAAATCGGCTTTATGGTCAATCTAAAAGACCACAGTGCTACGCTATATGATGGTGGCGATGTTTTGTTCTCCGCGACTCGACTTTCAACCATTGGGAAGGCCGTGGTTGGTGTGATCCAAAATCTCGAAGCCACAAGAAATAAACATGTCTACTTCCACGATATCGCTATTACCCAGAATCAGCTCATTGACATTGCAAAGCGCATCGATGGAAAAGAGTGGTCGACGAATGTTGTCTCGACTGCTGAGATTGAAGAAAAATCTTATGAAATGCTGAAAAGCAGCGACCCGAAGGAAGTCGGAAATTCAGCGCTCGGATTTATTGCCCGGGCGTGCTGGGGCGCAGGATATGGAGGTAATTTCAGTGAGAAACTTAGCAATAATCTGCTCGGGATTTCAGGAATGAGCATTGACGACCTTGAGAAGTTGGTACGGGAAATTATTGGTTGAGCTTAAAACAGACGTCACATTACCTTTTGGCGGTGTCGTGGGATTAATATGACTTTGTATTAGTCCTGGGGTGAGTGAAGGGTAGTATTTGCAGAAAATGGCTGGCCACCTCCTGCGACAGCCACTATCGGACGATACTTCGTGTTCAAAGATGACCCAATACTTCCGAGAATTGAGTTTCTTCCAATAGCTGCTCTGTAGAGTAGTTCAGGTATTCAATATTATTATTCCAAGAAATGAGTTAAATTGAAGTTGGCCTGACTCTTTCCCTCGCACGACCAAGACTACTATGTCTCACTGATGCAAAAAAGCGTTTTTACGTCCGGGTAGAGATTAAAAACTTCCACGTCTAATTAAAGCCTAACAGTTCCGCAAAAACTGTCCCTCGGCGATTGACATCTGTTGCTACTCAAGTGGCGATGGTATTTGTCCGGAGTCAGTTCAAATGAAAACAATCCGGGCAGTTTTACGTAGGCCCTGAAACGACCAGAACGAATGCGTTAGAGTCAGTGCGGCGTCGGAATAGGTCTTGTTGCCTTAGCTGACATGGCGAAGTGAAATATCGGATAACAGAAATACACATGTATGTTGGACAGCACAGCTGATCTTATGTGCCGCGGCGGAAGCGCTGGACACAACCAACTCTTTCTAAGGCTCCAGCATTTTCTGGCTGCCTGCACAACCCTGTTTGGTACCCAGCTTGGTGGCCTGGGACCCTAAATTTTTCGCGTCTGGCATCTCTATCATTTGATGTCCGGGAAAAATGACGCCAATAAGCGTTTCAAGATTTGGCTCGTAGTATGGCCTTCGCTGAGGGTACGACCTGCTTGGAAGCTGCGCACGGTATGAGCCACAGTGCGCCACAAAAATGGTCTGTGCGGAGAGAACATGGAAACTTTACATTAACAAATGGAACGGACACTCATTTCGGGCGCTGCTGTAGCACTCAGTAATGTGACACTCCAGATAAAATACAGGCTGTCTGGTACTTACGACATTAGCCGCTGGTGAGATCACATGTGCAGGAATAGGTACTAGTGTGATCAAGACATAGCCACCCGTGGACAGCAAATTAGCCCATCATTCTCGCTCATAAGAATCACTCTCCAAGGTGCATAATCACGATATGTTGACTACCCTACCGCCGTCTTTCTAATGTTCTGTTTAGGATCTTCGCGATGTCGCATCTGCTCAAACAGCGGCGTGGGGAAACTTCATGTTTTCCAGCGGTTCGCTTTGCTTCGGGATGTACAGACTGCGTTGCAGACAAAGTGTGCACGGTTGCCGCACAGTTGCTGCAGGGTGAAAACTGGGTGAGTAACGGCTCCATGGCATGATGCCCGAGGTACATAGCATCCTGCGAAGAGCTGTAGGTCCGTGTAGAGAAAATCTAGGCGTATCATCCATGCGTGGCTCGCTTCGGTGGCATCTCCATTCAGCTCTTCTCAGCTTCTTGTCTGGCGTAGGCATTCTACGACGCCACGAAACTTCAGCTGCCTGCTGGGATTCATTATTCACGTACAGAGCAGCAATTGTCCCGTCCCACATGACTGAGAGTACATATGTAGTATTTCAGCAGCTCTGGGAGGTCGAGACTCAGCAGAGGCGCAGAGCGGCATGCCGCGGGCAGTGTTAGTGTCTGGGCGCGAGGCTTAGCTAGATGATAGAACCATACGAGTGGCACCAAACAATCAATGCTCTATTTCCACCAAATCCTCCTCTTGTTCGGATGCAGTTGATGCGACTGATTGACTGCACCTGCACGCTGGCTGTTGGATTGATTGAAATCTTTTGTCGGCCCTACTGGTCAATATTTGCAGCACTAGCAGTTCACTGCAGGCTGGACCTGGACGCGACTTGAACCTTGGTGCCACTCTCGCCACTTTAAAAGGGCGCGCTGTGATCGTCGGGGATCATCCATTGGAGTGGGAAGCAGAACCACAGCAATGACAACAATGACGGAATACGTGGGGACGAGGGGAACTAAATGCTGAGAACGAACGTCAGGCCTCTGGGCTTACGAGTATCGTATTTTACTGTACAGTCCTGGCAAATTTGAGGCCTCAAATTGTCGAGTCAGTTGGGGGACTTTTGACACATATGGGTGTTTGCAGCCTTAATGGCGTTGGTACGTGCAACACCACCGTCAAAAATGCACTGATCAGCCAAGGGTGCGTGTGGCGATGGAGTCGTAAAAACACCTCACCTGTGCACTCATTAGCACACTCGGTACCCGGTAGTTTGCCAGAAGCAGATTGCATGCTGCAACCGCAAGGCTTTTTTCTCGATACGCGGATAAAAAAGCAACTGGGAAGAAGGCCACGCGCTGTGTTCCAAAAATATCGGGCTTGGCTTCCAACTCAATCTGCAATAACCTCAGACAGCGGCTGGTCAAGGGATCTAGCTAAGACGGGCGCTAAAATGATGCCTGGTAGCTGAGGCCAAAGTAACAGGCATTGCTTCCCGTTATGTGGACATCTAATCCATGTGAAGCGGTTTGTAGCAGTGGTCCCCCCTTTTCTTCTCCCGCAAAAGTACTTGTCAACTCGCCTGTCCCGTGCTACTGTCTAGACGAGATGGTTAGACTTACATCTAGCCGTATTCATACACTGTTTTGAGACTATGGCCAGCCCCTTTTATCGAACTCTTCGGTTCGAAAGCGAAAGCCGCCACCGCTCTTTCTTTTGGCGAGACAATCCAATATTACGAGCAGAGTAAATACCTAGTACAGTACGAGAACAAGCAAATTGTAAAGTCATCTCGCACCCCAACCCGGACTCCACCGACCCGCAGCAAGAGCCGGAGATGGGCGACGGGGGATGGAGAAGCAGTTTGTCGCATCACCACGTGCGAAGTCTCGGTTGGATTGACCGAGAGGATGATAAAATCGAATAATAGAATCAAATGTAATAAAATGAAACGCATCAGAAAAGACTAGAAATACATATTTGACCACTGTTTGCGTTGGCACCCATGGTATTGACGTCTTTGTAGCTGGTCATGTTAGCAACTCCGTCTCCGTGTCAAGATTTCAGATCCGCATAAGAGTGTCAAGACTGGGTACTAGCATGAGACGCTAGTCGCTGCACTCCGTACAACTGATTTGCCTTGCTTGTGCATCAGAATATTAGTTAATAGTTCCAACACCGGTAAGCACGAGACGTGAGAACGGTCTGCTCGTCGCTTACCAGGAAAGGCATCTTTGGCTGACTTGTGCTGTCTGGGTACTGAATCTAACTATGTGTTGGGGATGCTTCAATTATAATCACGGGCATCCGCATCCGCATGCTCTCCGGAAAGATTGCGAGATTGGGACTGATTACTAGACAGACTATCCACCAGCTGTCATACCTGAGTAATACTATGGAACTAGGCATGGGCAGTTCTCTCACAGCAGCCAAAAGAGGAAGCTTATCCCACTGGTGTCAGACATTCTCTCACCGGCATCGCAGACGTTGAAGTTTGTAAGAGTTTGGCCTCTGGTGCGCACGAGGTTATCTTGACGATCGCGTGAGGATATTCCAAAGAGCTGCGCATCTGCTTATTTCGCCCAGTGCACATCAGTCCATGTCGGCACTTTTCAATTGACGTCAGGCGATGATCCTTTTGTCGTGTGTAAAACAAGATAGCCTGAAGCCACAGAGACAAACAGAGGTGGAATTAGTATTTTATTGACAACATCAATATAAAAATAAACCAGGTGCATGCAAACAAGGCACAATCCTCAAAAGCAAAAGCCTCGGCCGCCCATCCAGCAAAAGCACCAGAAAAAGCACGCGACCTGGTCGTGTCTCTGCCCAATCAGCCCGTCCAGAGTCCGTCGATCTGAGCCCACTCGGCACGCCAAATTGCGCCGCCTCCTGGATGCCTCGCCCCCTGACAGCCTCCATGTCCATCAAAACTGTCGGGATTCTCGAAGCCAGCCACGGACGGTTAGTGGAAGGCTGAGCGGTGGGGGGAGGAGTTTCGCAGTTTTAGGTATTACAGCACAGGCGGTGCAGTTCTCGGAAAGGCGTCCCGCGGGTTCCTAAACTGAGATGCTGAAAAGATAGAGGTCTGGCCCCCCGCATCAAAAGTGAGACATTGAGGCCTGATATCAAGGCAACAGATGCGATCATCAGTATCATCGGGCGTCTCATCCATCCATCTACTCAAGTATACGAGTTCACCGCGTTGCAGCGGCTACAGCACCCGCGCCAGCCAGCACCCGCCACACCTCGTGCCATCCACTGTATTTTCCCGGCCCAGTGGGCGCATCCCACTAAACGACTAAACGGCGGCCCATCCTTAGCGGCCTTGCCCCCTCCACAGGCGACAGCCGCCGGCCAAGCCAGCGCCCCGTTTCCCCTAGTGCTAGCTCCATCTCTCAGTGTTCAGCTACTCGTACTGCTGGCCGGCTCAGAGCCTCACGATCCAGCCGACTCTTGTCTCTCCTCCATCATTCACTCGCCTCGACTCTCCTTTTATCCAACCCGCATTAGCTGCCCTACACTCCTTTGGGCTTCTTCTGCGCTTTCCTAGAGCATCGTTCTTTTTTGCCGCCTGTCCGCTTTCGCTTGCACAATCTCGCCTATCGACCATCACCTGAGCATCTTCTCTTTTGCTTCCTCTCTTCCTCTCTTCTTCTTCTCTTTTCAGCATCCTGATGGGAGCTTGCGAGCAGCCCTGTTCGAGTCGCTTCCTCAAACACCAGCGCCGGTCCGCCAAGACCAGCTGCTGTGCGACTCTCTAATCATTCCGCTTCGCTCATCAATCATCACCTACCACGAGCACCATCTTTGTCCTCGCCTCGCCTCCTCGCTTTCGCCTCCTTCATCCTCCCACTCGAGCGACGACGATAAACGAACATTCCTCACGACAGGCGCCATGGAGTCGCCCGCTGGCAGACGGCTCGATGCCTCCCCCTCCCCCTCTCCCATACATCACCTCGGCATGACGCGCCGTTTCGCACACGCCGTTGCCTCGCGCTTGACCCGTCGACGGTTCATAGCCAATCTCGCCTCCCGCTTCGCCAATCGCCGGTTTGCCTTTGCTGTCGCAACGGTAGCCATCTTCAGTGCCAAGGGCGTTCACATCTACACACATCTGTCTTCACTGCCGCTGGTTCACCTGGTGCGGTGGGGGTATTCATTCTTTGCGCAGGATGTCGTGCTGCTCATCCTTGTCCGGCTGCTGCTAGACCCCTGGTTGACGGAAGGCTCCGGGTGGTTGCGCACTACAACAATGACTCTGGCGTCTGTAATTATCACATATCTCATCACCGTAGGGGTTGTGACAGTAACCTTCTTTGCCGTCTGTGGCTCCGAGATCCACTGGCGCAACATTGGCTTGGCTGGCGATGCCTCCTCCTTTGCCATGTTTCTCTCCGGCCTTGCATCATTAATCCTAGTCCTCTTCACCGTTCTCTTTGTCGCCTGCATCTTGCAAGACATCTGCTACGTAGCCGCAGGCGTGGCTACTGATATTCTCAAGTGGCCTGTTAATTTCGCCTTGCGTCGATCATCGCCCACCACCTACTCTCAGATACCTCAGCTTGACGTTGAGCTTGCCAGCACATCCGACGATCTGGACGACGACGAATTCTGCGGCATGAAGAGCAAGACATCCGCAGTTGTTCTGAAGCGGCTGCTGTACCTCTTCATCGGCTTGGCACTCCTTACACATGTTGTCATGGTTTTGATTCGCCCGAATGAAAGTGCCTTGAATTTCCTTTCATGGACACCTGCCCTCCTCCCTTTCGTCGACTTCACATTCTCCTCTCCCAGTCTTGATCATCTAAAGCCCATCTATGGATCCAGCATTGGGCACTCCTGGGACAACATCACTGCTTTGACCGACCCTGTTGCTTTGCCTTGGCTGCCTCAGAGACATGTGCCTGGATTTGGAGACTGGTATAAGAACAACAAGCACTACAACGCTGCTGCAGACCCTCTCAAGATTTCCAACTTCAACGACGATCTTCTTCCGGCGCTCAAGGAAAAGCTTGCTGATGTGCCGATTCGCCATGTCATGCTCATCCTTCTCGAAAGCACGCGAAAGGATGTTTTCCCTATCAAGAAGGATGGGCTTATCTGGGAGCGCCTGGCTAACTCGTTTGGCAACAAGACTCTACCTGACGAGGCTCAAGCTATGCTGGCTGGCCTCACATCTAATGCCAACTTCATTACCGGCGACTACGATGATGGGTTCGAGCACGAAACTAAGAAAAGACGCGGCGGCATCAACTTTAACAACGTCTTCACCACCGCTACCTATACTATCAAGAGCATCGTTGGCACAATGTGTGGCCTCACGCCGCTAATGGCAGATTTCAATTTGGAGTACCTCCACCACTTTTATCAACCGTGCCTACCCCAGGTCTTTGACGCCTTCAATAAAATCGATGAGAGGGATCTTGGCAGCGAGAGGAGTAATGACTTCAAGTCTTTCAAGTGGCAATCTACCTTCATGCAATCCGTCACCAAAAATTACGATAGATATGTGCCTCTTCTATCCAAGATGGGTATTGCTCCTGAAAATCTTGTCTCCAAGGAATATCTCAAGAGCCGGTTTGCCAAGTTTGGTCCCGTGGATCTGCCAGATATCAACTATTTCGGTATGGCTGATGTCGCTGTCGAGGACTACATCCGAGATGCCTTTGTCCAAGCCAAGAAGAATAACGAGCGAGCCTTTGTCACACATCTCACCAGCACGAGCCACCATCCGTTCGCAATCCCGGCCGAGGAGAAGTATACGCCTTTAGGGAATGGTTTGGACGACATTTCTCACTATCTCAATGCCATTGGCTACGATGACCGGTGGTTGGGCAAGATTATGAATATTCTGGATGAGGAGGGTGTTGCGGACGAGACTCTTGTTGTTTTTGTCGGTGACCACGGAGTGTCTATGCCCGAAAACAACATCTTGGCGCCTTACTACAACCCCAACATTGGCACACTACGTGTTCCTCTGGTCTTCTCACATCCAAAACTACCAGCAATCGATGTCAACGATGCCGTCATCTCCTCACAAATCCTCCCTACCATCCTTGACCTCCTTCGCGAAACAGGATCACTTTCCAAGTCGCACACACAGGCCGCTTCCGACTTGGTCCAAAACTACGAAGGCCAATCGCTCATCCGGCCTGTCCACACATCCTCCAACGAAACCGGCCAGGGTAACTGGCAATTTACCGTCGTCAATCCAGGCCGCGCGATGCTGAGCATCCGCGACACCCGCCAGCCGGATTGGCACCTCATCGTGCCCATCATCGACAACGTCGAGTGGCAGTTTACGAATCTAATGAATGACCCGACGGGAGCGCAGACCCTGCTCGGGTTCGACTTTGTTAATTTCTTGTACAGCGTTGAGAAATCGCACGGCGTCGATGCCGCAACATGGGCTGAGGAAGCTGCATTTATGGCCCGGTGGTGGGTCGAAGAGAATGGGAAGCGATGGCGTTATGGTCCCTATGCCAACTAAACGGGCATATGTTTTACCTTTTCTTTTTCCATTTCTGCCCCTTTGATCCTTTTGATATCATTTTTATTTTGACTCTTTGATGTACTCATATGTATACTGGCATGGGCATTAAAACTGGCGTTTATACAATAAAGCATGGGGGCCGCAGAGGTCTTTTGAACTTTTTGACAATCATTTCTTCCTTCATTACACGTGACATGAGAGTTTGCAACCATCCATATGTTCAATGTTTCATCTGACAAGAATTACTACTCACTGGGGTGACAAATTGCCCGCCTTTCTTTTGATAGCCCAGTCTCGGACTTTGTCAAAGTTTGCGCATGTTCTGGTCCCATTAAACACAGGCCGCAAGAGGCCCCCAGAGTCTGTTCTGAAAGGCAAAATGTCAAGGCTCGGCCTACACATCATCGATTGACGAATATAGTCAATACAATGCTCAAGATGCGCCGGAATCGTGTGCTCATTGGCCGGACTGTGCACATCATACCAATCCTTCAAGACACCGTACGCTTGCATGCGAAGCATATCCAAACAATGCAGCTGATGAAAAACTTCTACTGCGCCGACATATAGCGGAGGATCTGATTCCTGGGTATTCTCATCGATGAAGAGGGAGCTCTTGGAGGGGAGTTTGGCATGTTCTTGTTCCGTTAGGGCGACCATGCCGGGGTGTGTTAGCGCATCCCAGTGCGCATTGTTGGTTTCGTTGGGTTTGCCTTGGTATGCTGACAGGTTGGGCGTGAAGCCTGATGTGAAGCGTGTGTCGGTGTATGAAAGGGCTGGGTATAGAGGGCCTTTGACCGAATGATGTGAGATGGTGTTTTTTTGGTATCGAGGGGATGTTGTACATACTTGTGAGGTCTGGATAGCTTAGGATGTCTGCATGTGGTCTACTTCTCAGATAGAGCAGTGAAGAGAATGCGATTATCCAGAATACTCCGAGGACTCCGTGAACCCAGAGAAAGCGGATGCTTCCAATATTCTGTCTGAAGGAAGATGCCCCACGAAATGATAGAGATTCTCTCGATGAAGATTCAGCGTCCTCGTTGGCTACTTCAGCGTCCTCGTTGGCTACGCGCGTGTATTGAGTTTTGTCTAACCACAGCGGCATATTGACAACTCTTGCTGGCAAGGGAGTAGAAGGAGGATGTAACGAAAAGAAAAATGATGCTTGCACAATAGCAGACATGCAGGATAGGGGCTTGTTCTCGGATAATAGAGACGGCATATAGAGATGGCATATGGAAAACTACTATCGCATTTAGATGCCCTTTCAAAATGAAAGATCCACAGATGCAGCAGTAGATTGACAAAAGAGCGGTATCAAAGTCTACATACACGAAAACGAGGGAATACGCAGTGGGTCGTTCTCGTTCAGCATGAAGACGCCTTTACGAAGTACATGGTTAGCTATCATGATGACCTATCTTTCATGATTCGAAATATTGATCATTATTGGCTACTGATACGAGTATGTGGAAGATGACTCCTGTTTTATTTAGCATGGACAAGCATTGACCAGAATAGACGTTGAATCGTTTGACAAAGTTGGCCGATTCGTTAAATAACTCGAGACTAAGGTTCTTTAATCGTCCCAATGTGCTTCAGCGGTATGGATCGAAACTCCACTCATTCCCCTCTGCAGCCATCACCCCTTCACACAAAATACCGCGGAATTGAGACGCCAAGTTTCCCTATGGGTTTAGAGACAAGAACTTCTGTTTTGGATGTCCGTTTTGGTGGCTAACGTCGCGTGTGCAAATTTTAAGTGCAGTGGAGTGCCGAAAAGCTAAAGAGTCAGTATGATGGATGTTATTAATGCTTATATATGCGCAGTACTATTTATAATAGAAGGCCATTTTCTCTTTATTTCTTGCAAGGGAATGTATATACATGTATATGTATAACTTTGAATTTTTGAATTGACTTCTATTTCTTTGATCTTGTTCTATTGGAATCAGCAGCGTGATTTGGATTGTAAAAGCGGGCTTATACCAAGACTTTTGACACCCTTGGCTTACAGCGGACACGCAAGACTTGGATGCGGGGATATCATTGCCATTGGTGCTCGTTTACGAGGACATCGCGTTTTTAGCTCACAAGTTCCCCTGCCCTAGTGTAGACAAAAAGTCCCTTGCTCATATTTTAACTCGCTTTCTTTTGGATTTGATTGTCAAAAGTAGGTTAGGCCAAGAGGTAGGATTCGTTAGGGCGAGTCGTGTGTTGCCCAAGTTGTCTTGACAAAAATTGAGGCTTATCTTCGTCATGCAGACTAGGCGGCTGGCTGTTCAAGCTTATTTTAGCCACTTAGTAGGTTACTAGCAGTTCAACCTGCATGGTGATTATGTACTTCGTACGTATCAGTGCATTTCACCTGAAAGCTTGTTAGAAACCGGCAGGTGGTTTGTTTGTTTGCCCACATAAGGAGATGGTTCATGTCTGGGTTTCGGGTTAGGAAAGGGTGGACCGGTTCGTCGGTACTTGGCATACGCAGGCATCAACAAAGTTGGGTGGTATTCTTTTCGATGTCTACGGTTGGATGCTACGTGCAGCATTGTATCTACACACATAGTTTCTGCAACCTCAGGTTTGAGAGGAATGTGTTATAGACTTCGGAAACGGCTGCATACGATAGATGTGACTACACATTGACTACGGTGTTGGTAGTCAAGCCTGTAACGGCGAAGATGTAAGCCGCCACATGAAGTCTTTCTTAGCAGAAACGAGTTATGCTATCCAAAACTGGTATCGAAAAGTGAACTTCCGGGCAAAGAGCTGTACTACTAGTGAGGAGATTTTAGCAGTGCCTATAATAAACTATCTTGATAAGCATTGTCTGTACTTGATCTAGTGAGAACAACCTATGCGACATCAAGAAACCGGTGCCAAGATGAATCCTTCTCCGAGTTTTGCCACCATCCTACTGAAGAGGAAAGGGTTGATAAATAGCACCAACTAGTGTCATTTCCTACATTCAGTATCATGGGGGACCTATCACATAGTGCTTTTGTGAGAGAACGCCTGTTCAACCAGCACTAGAATTTTACTATATAACGATAGTAGGCGCTACTAGAAAAAATAGATGTAATAGCAATTACTAGAGAATTATACATATAGTAGCAGTTATAAGAGAATTATAGATATAGTAGTAAATATTGGCGAAAATATAGCTATAGTAGCAGATATTTAATAACGGGCGTATAATTTAACTCACGAGTGTTCAAAATCTTCTCGGCCTCGGATTTTTGTCTTCTGCTTAATACAGTAGCGGCTAAGCTTCTGACTGTGATATTTCATCCACACTGGACGAGACAGACTAATACACATCTGATTGCGGCGATACAAAGGTGCACTTGGTATTCCAAATGTCAAGATATGAGTTATTTGCCGATTCTACCCACTTAACACGACCGTATATGCGGGGAAGATACGTTACGGAGCGCATGTAATATATTTGTCACCATCCTTTGATGATTATCAAAACCCATGTCCATACGTCGACTAGTGACCACGAACGACTCATTCATATCCCCATCCACACCAAAGTTTAGACTAATGCCAGGAAGACCTGCAAATGTACCTCTGTCATTCGTATCCGCGGGGATAGGGATAGCGACGGCCCGTTTTGGAGTCATCTCAATGTGTTGATAGTCTTCAAACCATGACTGGGGAGGAACTGCTTGCGAAAAGCGGATGTTGTTTTGGACCTTTTGTATATATATAACAGTGCAATGCTGCCATTGTTCTTCTCTGTATTAGCAGATACGACAATAAGAACAACCAACCTTTGTCTCCTCCACCTGTCTCCCTTTCCACACCAAACACATCTCTAAAATGAAGTTCACTTTTGCTTTCGCCTCCCTCCTTGCCCTTGCGGCTGCCGCCCCTGCCCCTAGCGAGGCCAGCACAGATGCTTGCCTCCTAAAGCGTGCCGATGGAAACTTTCTCGTCGAGCGAGGAGGCGGCTGCGGTTATTACGGAAAGCGTTCTGAAGCCAGTACCGACGCTTGTCTTCTGAAGCGTGCCGTCGATGGCTCTTACAGCATTGAGGCTCGAGGCGGCGGCTGTGGATATTACGGAAAGCGATCTGAGGCCAGCACCGATGCCTGCCTTCTTAGACGGGAGGCTGATGGCAAATACACCATTGAGGAGAGAGGTGGTGGCTGTGGATACTACGGAAAGCGTTCTGAGGCTTCTACCGAGGCTTGCCTGCTAAAGCGTGAGGCCGATGGCAAGTTCGTTCTCGAGGAGCGCGGCCACGGATGCGGATATTACGAGTAAATGTTGGCACATAGTCATGTTTTTGAGCGTCAACCTATGCGGAACTTACCATGTGTATCCTCCGTGCCTGGATGGGAATACTTGATGTAATGAACATCATGGGATAGGAGTCTGCAAATGAAAGGCCAAGACTATGATGAGCATCAATATACACTATGAGCAACATCAACAGATTAGCTTCAAACCGAATTAGAACCGTGAAATATTTTTGTGGCAATGTGTTAACTACCTTTTCGAGTATATCACACATCCCCATTTAGTTGAGTAAGACTTGATTATATGCACAACTTCGAGCTACACAAATCGATCAGCGAAAGACTAAACTTTGCGCAGCCGAGTGGTGCTCCCAATAACCTTGTATACGGTACCTAGCACATTATCCATACCTAGCCTGCCTACAATAGAAGAATCAAGCTTCTACACAGCAACAATCTAATATCACGGCGTGACAAGTTTCTTGTTGTTAGCTTCGCCTCCCTCGAAACCCGCAAGTCGTCATACCCTTATGTAAGGGAACCAGCCTAGCGAGCCGATGTGTTGCATCCACACAAATTAGGTGAAGTCAGATCTTTCCGGGTAGCGTGATTGCGGCGGGGTTCTGCTGAGGACTTTCTCGACGTCCAATTACTATCATCATCTTTAAAGCCGTATGAGCATCTTGAGAATTAACTGAGTATCCTAAAAAGTCTTTATCAAATAATTAGCACGAATTCTATCTATCTCTTCAATAATTACACCATGGCAACAGTCTTCAAGCTCATATTTTACGTTCCGGAGACTCACATTGAAGTCTGCAAAGCGGCCATTTTTGCGGCTGGAGCTGGTCGCTATCCAAACAGTTCTTACAGAGAGTGCTGCTGGACAGCCCTGGGCACCGGTCAGTTTCGCCCGGTCGCTGGGGCGAATCCGCATATCGGGCAGCTGGATAAGCTTGAAACTGTCCCCGAAGTACGAGTTGAAGCGCCCTGTGTGGGCCAGGATGTGACAAAGAAGGCTGTGGAAGCATTAAAGAAGTATGTGTATCCGACAGTGCTAAACATCTTTATTCAATCAATGCTGAGCTGAGCTTATCTAACATGATTGTTTTCCCACAGGGCCCATCCGTATGAGGAACCGGCATACGAAGTGTATAGACTTGAGGATTTCTAGGCAGCAAATATGGTTCTCATTGCTCTTGACTTCTCGAACCGTTTCCCTCTCAGATCTGGGAGCATGAAAGACTCCCGTATAACCTGGCATGTTATATCTTGGAAAGTGAGAGATGGAAGCATTCATGGTTGATGATTTAGGGGAGATTTGCATCGACTATTGTAAAGGCATTCCGTGATAGGTATACCAAATTAAAGACCCTCCAGTGATATTAATACAGGTTCAACTCCACTCCAGTACAGCTTCTTTCCTCTCCCTGACTGAAGAGACTTCATTGGGGATTAGCATACACCGTATAAATCTCCCATGTTTTAGGTTCTGGTTTATCCAAACTTGTTATGAACCCAAGGTTGCCCGCATTCCAGAACCAATCGGGATGCTCCTTGCTTCTATATCTGTTCGTCCCACGCGCAAATTGAATGGCCATTCTGTGAAATCTCCATCGATTCCGGACATTCGAGAGGTCCTTTTTCACACAGGTCAGCATATAATGCCGCCAGTCAATGTCGGCTTGCCTTGATGATGACGTGTCGGTAAGAATTTTTGAGACCCAGCTGTTGTCGCTCCAGTCTGCTGGTGTAAAAGGTAGCATCCAGCCAAAGTTGCGCATGGCACGTAAAAAGAAACTTTGCCGTTTGTGAATGATTTCATCATAGAACCAACGGTCCACCTGCGCCAATG